GGTAATATTAATTTGTTTTGATTGGACTGTTGTAATAATAGCCACAGAAGGCAAGCTGTATTAAATCTAATACGTATAAATCTAATATATATAATATAAAATATAAGACACCTTCTCATTGTGATTAAAAGTCCACGTTATTCAGCATTCCAGTTCCCACAAGCTCTTTTCCAGCAGAATATGGAAAGCACATACAATAACAGTTAATACTGCAGTTATTCTAAGTAGAAGGGGGTTCAGAGAGGGGGAAATAGCAGAAAAAAACCATGACAGCAAGTCACTAAGGAGAGGGAGGGAAAACAGCACTCAGAAGATTGGAGTGGCTGGGGGCCATTCTAGGACATCACTAGTGGCAGCTGGTAAAACAGAGGGAAGAGGAAACCACTTTTGGACTTTGTGCTTGAGAGGGATAAAAATGAAACTTTGATTTTGGGTTTTACTGACTAGAGAGATTTGTTGTTATAGAAATGGCTAGTTTATACTATTATTGAGGTTGAGGTTTGAAGTTACTGTTCTATTCTACTGCACTAGAAGTTGGAAGTCAATGCCCCCCCTTTTTTCTTTGCTCCCTCCTTTTCCACACTTCTCCTTTCCCCTTTCCCTCCCTTTTTACCTTACTATTTTCTTTTTGTATTTTATATTATAAATTAATAAAAGTTGTATAAGGGAAAACAGAGGGAAGAAAAATGCAGAGAAGATTGGAGGGGTTGGTGGGGCTACTGAGATGCACCATACTCTTTTATCTTTAACGTTATGACACTATACTTGAGCGAGAAGAATCTCAGCATCCAAAACCAACTCTGTAGCCACCACACTTCTACCATAACTGCAGTGAACACTACCTGCAGAAATTTTTTTTAAAAAAACAACTAGGATCATTTGCACTGTTTTTCAGAGAGTTCACAGCGAGACCTTTAAGCAACTTACTTAAACATAAATGCTGGATATCAACTTGAAGCCTCTCAAAGTAACGTTTTCTGTGTTTGCCATCTACCTGCAAGGTCAAACTACAAATTATTATAACCTATTGGGTTGTATTTTACAACCCAGACAAAAATGTTTAGCACTGGCAAAATTCAAAATCTAATAATTAAAAATTTTTTTTTACATTTTTGGCATATTGCATTATTAAAATGTTAATTTTAATTATAGCAATAATTGCCTTACCTTGAACCTGGTAGATTCCCTTTCAACAAGAAGAAAATGAACATCTTGGACGTCCTGTAAAGCTATATCCAACCAGTGGGACAGTTTTCCCCGTCCGGCTCCAAATTCCACAAAACAGTTCCCTGGTCCAAGCAAATGTAATCTTTTCATGTTACCTAATATAGAAGCCTATAAACATCAAGTTTATTTGTGAACCAACACAGTTATTCATTAAGCATTAATGAATCCTAAATCAGCCATAGATTTTTGAAATGCTATTTTAATTCTTCCAAAATGCATGGGTTTGTGATTTAGTCCTATAGCCTAGTACAGTGATGGCGAACCTTTTAGAGACTGAGTGCCCAAACTGCAACCCCAAACCCACTTATGGATCATCGAGTGCTGGATGGGTGTGGCCCATTGGGTGGGCATGGCCCATTGGGTGGGTGCGGCTGCGGTGATAACGGCAGACTGGGTGGGACTAAAAAGTTCAATCAATCAATTCCAACTTTGGAGATTTTTTTCCTGCGAGAAGTTGAAATTGATTGATTGATTGAACCTTTTTTTTTTTTGCACATGGCGGCAGAGGCCTAAAGCGAAAAGGTTTTATAAAACCCAGCTGAAGGCCTAGGACTGGGGCGACGGCACGCGTGCCCACAATGAGGGCTCTGAGTGCTACCTCTAGCACCTGTGCCATAGGTTCGCTACCACTGGCCTAGTATACTATCTTTCTTAGGTTTTGCATGACTACTACTACTACTACTTACTACTACTACTACTAATTATTATTATTATTATTATTACTACTACGATTACTATTATTATAAATTCAAATTATATTATTTTCAGTAAATTTAGAAAACTAAATCTTCCATGCTGACATTTATTATTAATATTTACTACAAAACTTAATTTTCTTTTGCAAAACCTAGAACAAAAAAATCCTGAATGACTTTACAATATACCTAAAAGAAAATAAGATTCATCAATATTCGTATGAAATGTTAGGGAAATCTAGGGTGGTGGATTAAACAGATTAAAAAAACATGTATAAAATTATCAGTGTTTTCAAGGGAACAATAATTCAGCCACTAGAAAGCAATTTATTTAGAACAAGAAATTATACTAAATATGTTATTTTTTGCAAGAGAGCTACCTGTTGCTTCAAATGTTTAAAAGCTGCATCTCCATTCTGGGGATCGTTTAGGGCTTCTTGTAACGCATGATGAGAAAGAATTTGGTCCTTAAGTACATAATTTATAGCTGAGAATAGAATGTAGAATTTTGTGTTTGAGTTTGAATTGAATTAACAATGTAAATATTCTCTCAAATGTCTGTTGTTGTTATTGTATGAGAAAACTAATATCCGATTCTGCAAATATTTTAAATGTAAATAACTTTACAATGTAATTCTCATACATATCGAAAACCATTAAATTACAAAACAGTTATTTTGAATTCTTTCATCATTTATATTGTTTGATTACCCACATAAAAATAAAATACTTACCGTTATTTGCTTTTTTAAGCTTCCTAATTAAGTTCTCTAGTTCTTGTTTAGAAAGTGCTGAAATTCGTATCTGCTGGAATGGACACAGAATATTTCTTATTTTGTTTATAGAAACCCATCTATACAAAGCAAAAATAAGCCCAAAAAAATGTACTACATTAGATATGATCTAAACAACATCCAATTCTCCTTGACTAGAAAATATATTTAGATGAAGGACAAGAATGATAATAAATACAGTACAATTCACAGGAGTGGAAAAGCTTTTCTTTTTGTTTTATTTTCAATCACTCAGTGCCAATAAGGGTAACCATATCAAGCCTTCAGGTTATTGGGGGATGGGTATATTGCTCTCTTTTTTTACAACACTTGATATCATTTTTGACCTGCATGCTACACAACATTTGTATTCAAATCCTATATCTATCTACATCAGGCATGTCAAACTGCCGGCCTGCAAGCCGGATGCATCATACTGAAACCATGCCCACCCCATTGCCGGCAATGGGGAAAAAGTCGCAATACGTCATGCGACATCACGTGACGTCACGAGTTTGACATGCCTGATCTACATAGAAAAAGTACACTAGCAGTCAGCATTTTTTAAAGCTAGCATACTTTTCTGTCAGTTCTTCATGAGCCACCATGTGGAAAAACACTTGGATGTCACAGCAAAATAAATGCCTCTGTCCATTCCAACACCAGGATTTTTCTTCCTGCTGCTCAAATAGCATTAGATATATTTAATTGCTAAGACCACATATCTTGCTACTATAATTCTGCAACAAACAATGGCCAATGGTATAGTATTTGTTATCTCTGCAACTTCTATAAGACAGCATTTTTCCTATAACATTCTCATTAAATATATTATTATATTTTAATCCCATCCATCTCTCTGTCTACACATCTTTCTGGTGAACCCAATGCAGCAAACATAACTAATATTTGTGTTTCAATTTTTCGCACAATTCTATGAGGTGGGTTGGGCTAAGAGAGAGTGGCCTAGCCAGTTTTCATGCCTAAGGCAGGACTAGAACTCACAGTCTCCTGGTTTCTAGGCCAGCGCCTTAATCACAATATCAAACAGGCTATTGAGCTAAGCAGCATATAAATTTAATAAACAAACAAAAATAATGAATATTATTTAAAAAGCAGAGTTTATCTCTTCTAGCAGTTCAAAATATATTTAAGACATTTATTCACCTGTTCTTCAGATAATTCTGTTTCATTTTTCAGTCCTGCATTAATATCTTTAATAAAGTAGACCTTAAATGAAATATGGAAATATGTTATAGAATAATTATAATTCTCTTTTCCAGTATTTACATGCATTAAGCTTTAAATGGTTTAAGAAAAAACAAAATCATTCTGGAGTTTGATTGTACCTATAGCAAGAAACAATCATAAAGTTATATTTAGACAAGTGTATACAGATAGGCGAACCAAGGACTACTTTTTCTATTAGCACAATAAGACCTGTAATAAACTTATGAATTCTAATTTCATTTTATATAATATTTGACTAAACAAAATGTGACTTTATTTAACATCTATTATTTTCTACTTTATTTCTTGTTTCACTGTTTTTCAATCACACCCTTGTAAAATCTTAGGTTGCTTTTACTGCTACCTACTGAAAGGGTTTGCCTTATACTTTGAAATTCTTGGCTTTAGGCAGTCCTCTTTGCTCTGCTATAATACCCAAGACCCATTTATGTTGCACACAGATTCTGGGTGCTTCCAGAACATGTTTCCATTATGCAATTATCTGCCTAAATTCACTAAATCCTATAAAGGATTCAGATAAACTGCCTTCTATTTGCAACTTCCTATGTTTCTTCACAAACTTTCCAGTCTTTCTTATCTCTGAAAATCAATTAAGTATGAGAAAGTAGAATAGTGATACAATAAAGCTCTATTGTACAAACACTACAATATATTTATTGGTGGTTTTGTGATGCTTCCATCTGCATATATCCTTATTTTCATCAGGGTATTAATGGAAAGAAGCATCACTTCACGAGGCAGTTCTGCTAGTTTTATTTCAAGTTCTGCTAATTTTATTTCAAGCAGTTTCAATGATACTTACAGGCTTTGGCTTCTCTCTTGAATTACACTTTTTCAAATGTTTTTGTAGCTGATCTTCATACACAGTGCTAAAATTAAAAATAAACAAATTAACAATGGTATTCATTGTTCTTTTTTTTTTAAAAAAAAAAAAAAACAGAGAATCTACTCTTGCTTACTGTTTTGGATCCAAAGGACAAGGGATTCTTTTCCTTTTATGTTCTTCCTAGTTAAAAATAATAAACAATTTACTAAAACTTTAAATCATACCCTTTTTCAGCTCCACATCCCCGCAAAATAAAAGTGAGTCCCAATTGATATAGATGTAACATAATGGAATTGGGGGGGGGGGGAACAAAACATAATGGAATTGATTTACATTGGAATCAACAATATGTTGCCTTAAAAGGTGTCTTATATCCAGGTTTTTTCAACCTTCCTTGAAAAAAATTATCTGAGGCACTTCCGTTTTTTAAAAAACTTTGTATTCTGTCACTGCCCGTTTTCCACTTGTACATTACTTGTTTTCTAGGTTGACGGCAACATTTTCTCTATGCATGGTATGCTAGGGAAACTAAGCCAGCCTCCTCCAACCCAGCATAACTTGCCCTAAACATGTAATCACATTCACAATCGTCAGGATAATTTCCAATACTGGATAGCAGACGGACCTTTTACACCGGATGGAGGTAAGAGATGAAAATGGGATGAACCAGAAAAATCTAATGACATCTTCTTGCTGTGTGTGTGTGTGTGTGTGTGTGTGTGTACACACTGTACATATATGACACGCAGGTAAGAAATGAAAACGGGAGGAACCAGAAAAATCTAATGACATCTTCTCGGTCTGTGTGTGTGTGTGTGTGTGTGTGTGTGTGTGTGTGTGTGTGTGTCTGTGTACATCTTCTCGGGGTGTGTGTGTGTGTGTGTGTGTGTGTGTATACACTCTACATATAAGACAAACGCAGGCGACCTGATCAAGGTGAATTTCCTTTCTCCCTCTGCCTGTGGTTAGAAAAGATAAACTGGAAGCTCACTGAAACAAAACCTTATTTTTACAAATAAAACGGATCGTTTGGCCCAGCGGTTTGTCTCGCTCTCCCCCTACTACCTCCTCGGCGCTGTGCTCGCCACAGAAGCGCCTTCCCTGCGCCGGGACCATCTTGCAAAAGCGCTTCTTCCGCTCCACGAAATAGGCGCATCGCCCCGGCTGAGGAAAAGAAGCCAGCTCGACAGGAGCCCCCGTCATCTTGCCTACAGGTGTTGTGGCTCCTCCCCCTCTCCTCCATCCGCCCCGCCTCCGCCGGGGGCCGCGTGGCCCGTTCCCCGCCCTTCCTGCCTCGCTCCTTCCTGGCTTTCCCCCCCGCCGGAGCAGGGCGCCAAACTCAAAGCGCAAGATGGCGTCGGAGAGCCTCTTCAGCCAGCCGGTGCCCGTGCAGGTGAAATGCCAGGGCTGCGAGGAGAGGTGAGGCGCCGGCGCGGTTTTCTTCCCTCGGATGAACGGGGCCTGAGGTCTAAAAGCTGAGGGGGAGGTTCCCCCCCTCTTTTCCTGTCTTGGAGCCGCCCGTCCCTACTTCAGACCGGGACTCGGACGGTTGGTTTTTCCCCGACCAGCCCGGGGAAAGAGGGGCGGAACTTCTCGTCGGGAGTGGCCTCCGCTTCTTTCATTCCGCCCCCCCCCCCAAAAAAAATACCTTTCAAAACAAAAACCCCAGAAAAGCTATAGGTTTTGGGAACATGGCCGTTTCTATAACCCCCTCACTATTCTGAACAAAACAACAGTCGTGAATTAAAATCCTCGCAGATTTCTCTCAGGCTCCGGCCGCTGGGAGTGATCAATGACCCTGTCAGGCTTTTCAACTGCTGCAAGCGTGAGGGTGTGTATAGCGTGGTTTTTGCCTAATTCAATAGGCTGAACGAGGTGATTCTGGCAATGTACACATTTTTCTCTTCAACTGTGAAGTTGATGGATACCGTGGCTGCTGCTTTTCTAACCTAACACTCTAGTTGCCTGTGATTAATCCTGTGTTTATAATGTATTATAGATAATAAACGGCTACACATATGACTGTCTCTATGTAGCAGCTAGATATTTTCAGGTATTTTAAAAGTATCTTGGCCCCCTTTCTCCTTTGACGAAGCTTCCATGCTTTTAACAGTTGAATGACAGCCAGACATTGGGCAGAGGGACTCTTGGAGTCAATTGTCATCTATCAATATCTGTCCCTTGGTTAGTTGTTAAGCTTTTGGAAGGATGTCAGGAAAAGGGGGAAAGGAAAGGCTCTTTAACACCTGCTCATGATTTCTCTTAGTGTGGATTGTTTAGTTAGAGCCACTAGACCTGAGCTGTTTTTATTGTTGTCATCTGTGGTTGTCTGGGTTTTTGCAGCCCAGATCTGGTAGTTTTAATTTAGCAAGCTTTCCTTGTGGTGTTTAGAAAATAATAAATGGGATTCTCCCACAATTTTAATAGAGTTATGGGAATAACTTTTGGAATCAGATATTACCAATTAATAATTTGCTAAACTTATATGCTGCCTAAGTCTCCATGACTGTGCAACTCTCAAAAATCAAACAAAAAAATTATGGTAAAACATACATTTTTTAAAAAAAAATAGGCACAGTGAAAAGAAGGGTCTTGATGTCTCTTGCCAAAAGCCTGGACAAAGAACCAGAGCCATCTCACCGTCAGGAAGAACATTATTCTATCGAGAGGGTCTGTGCTGCTACAGAGAAGGCACACTTCTGGGGTCCTGAGATGACATTGTTCAATCAAAGGAGCCCACAGTGTGCCTACCCTGCAAGATTGAATTATCTGGGCAAATGTTATGGGAGACAGGTGGTCCCTAAGGTAATTAGGCCTTAAACTGCATAGGGCTTTATAGATAGCAAGGGTAGCCCCTGGTATCACACCTTGAAGCAAACTGGCAACTAGTGCAGCTTGCCAAGCAGAGATTTTACATAGGCATGCTGATATATTTTGGACCAGTTGAAGGCTCTAGGTGGTCTTCGAGGGCAGTCCCTTGTAGAGCATTTCAGTAGTCAAGCTGTGAGGTGACAAGGGCATGAGTGACTGTCTGAAGGATAGCCCCCGATATAAGAGTGCAACTGGGGTACCAGCTGAATGAAGCTGACACCTGCTCTTGAAGTAGGAGCTGCAAGTCTAGCAAAAACCCCAGATTGTTTATCACCCTTGAAGTGGGAAGGGCTAGCCTTTCAAGGTCAAAGATGGAATATTCCCCGATCTGGATGGTTCAAATACCCATAGCTACCCAATCTTCGTAGGATTTAAGTCAGAAGCAGTTCCTCTCCATCCAGATCTATGTAGCCTCCAGGCACTGGGACAGAACTTTGACAATCTGGTTGCCCTGGAGTCTAAATATTATAATTGGGTATTATCACATACTGAGGATGCTATACCTCAAACTGTCAGATGACTTCGCTTAGTGGTTGAAAAGGAAAGAGAGAGAATAGAATCCTGAAATCCTGGAGAAAGGAAGAGAATCATCATAAGATGTACAAAACATTAGTTTGGAAAGTGTAGTTCTCACCTCATGCTGTATGCTATATACTCATCTTTGAAGGGCTCTGATTATTTATCATGAATTAATAATTATTCCTATCTTTTCATAAAATTAATGTCAATTAAAAATGAGCCTTGAATTTGGGGGAATTTATTACTATAAATTGTAATCTCACATTTTGTAGGGCTGTGCAATCTTCTTAAATATTCTATTCAGAACTATCTACATACCCTTGCAAACGATGGTAAAAGACGTAAGATTGTTGCTTGGAATATTCTGAAACCAATTCTCCATGCTCAACTCTCATTGGGCTTTTGGATTTTTTTCTCTGAGGAAAAATTTATTCCCCCACTTCCCCTGTTTATTCCTTCCCCTGTTGGTTCTTTAAAGTTTGTCTTTCTTGTACATGAATGGTACCATTTCCATGTCATAATATTTGTCTGAATATTGTTATTCATGCAAAGTAATGTCTAGTTATTAAGCTGCATTAATAAAAATGACTGGTGTGAGTGGTGATTAATATAGTGATATATAGAATCATAACGGAATATTTAGTGAATTATGTAGCTATCCATCTCATTGAATATGATTCTGGGTGAATCTATTTCTTATCTACTAAAAATATACAAAATATGTTGAATCAACAGCAGTTAAAACAATGTAGCAACCAATAAAACTATGTGAGAATAATAAAATTAAAAATAAACATAAAAAACAAAATTGCAGGTGAATACAATCATCTAAACAATACAGCTATCTTGTAGGGGTCCCATGGATCCCCAAGGTTGTTGGACAAGTCACATTTTAAGAGCTTTCCAGAAAATTAGCAGGGAAGATTGACTTTATGACAATCATGGTATATTGACTTTATGATAGATATAATTTTGTGCAAACTCCCTTAATGGATCACCTTTACTTAAATTAAAATACAACATTTCATTTGTCAATTGAAGAATATATTGCTGTTACTTACATCAATATATTAAATGCACTTTCATGTATTTTGCAGACGAATAAAGGTCCGAGTGAGTGTTGAAATGCAATCAACAACAAATCCCATTCATAGGAAGGTTTGTATCTCCTTCATTATACATTGTGCTTTCAATTGTTACAATAAGTGATCCTGCTTAAAATTTTAGTTGCTAACTCTGGCCAAGCATATTCCTTCGTGAACAATAGACTTTATTGATCATTGATCAAAATAAATATTATGAATAATAATATGTCATTACTACAGAACAGAGCAAGGAACTTATAAACTTGGAAGTAATATTCCATGATAACTGTACATTGGCAAAATTGAGACAAAAATGGGGCCAGCCTAATCAAATCATATATTTTCAAATAACATATTCAGTTTCTTTTCTACCCTTCATTCAATACCCTCAAACAGTTTTCCATGTTAGTTTGCCCTCCCATCCTTTCACTTGGTCTTCTCTACATCATTATGATTAATTTTTCATATGTATTCCCTTCCCATTTGTTTAGCAATTTTGTACTTTGGTATCGTCTGCTGAGAAAGCTGTTTTTTTCTTTTCTTATCAATTTAAAATATACAAAATATGTTGAACTGTGAACAAATCACTCCAGAAAAATCTGGAATATTATAACAATAACAAAGTTGGAAGGAAACTGGAGGTCTTTTAATCTAGCAGGAAACCCCATACCATTTCAGACAATAGTTGTCCAATCTGTTCTTTAAAACCTCCAGTGTTAAAGCACCCACAACTTCTGGAGGCAAGTCATTCCACTGATTAATTGTTTTAACTGTCAGGAAATGTCTCCTTAGTTTTATATTACTTCTTTCCTTGATTAGTTTCCATCATTTGCTTCTTATCCTGCCCTCAGGTGCTTTGGATAATAGCTTGACTCCCCTTTCTTTGTGGCAGCCCACTAAAATATTGGAACACTGCTATCATGTCATCTCTAATCCTTCCTTTTATTAAGCTAGACATACCCAATTTCTGCAACTGCTCTTCATATGTTTTAGCCTCCAGTCCTCTATTATTGCTGAAATCTCCTCCTAGATCATGCTATTCTAGGAAACAATTCAAGGTGTTCAAGTTACAATACTCTGGGTGAACAAGGCCTGTTTTGGGGGTTACACCCTCCCCAGATTGCTTTCATGTAATTTGTTTCACAGGCTGATAAAATTTCAGTGTTTAAGCAGCCAGCTGCAGGTTTCTCTATTAATGGTAAAAAAAAAAAAATCTTTGTGGCTCACAGAAAGGTCATTAGAAAGAAATTGAGAAACTCTCCACCATAATGACAAAGTGAAGTAGTTCTAAAAGGAACATAGTTCAAATGCTGAAATTCTTTAAACTCATTTTAATAATTTGTTTAAAGGAAAAATTGCTTGAAAAAAATACTTTGAAGCAATTGCTAAAACCCTGTCATTCCAATCTGTAAGATTTACTTTAAAAATGCTGAGTCTGGGAAAAGGTCCCCATTGTCCTGAGGGAAGCAATGTTCCAGACTTTTCTAGAACGTTCTGTTTCCAGTGACAATTTTTGCACTTCATTGTGATTTATTGTGGATACATAACAAGCTGATAGCAGAATGTAGTAGCTAAGGCTTGGACTTTCATGAGGGATATGGGTTTAAGTTTCCACTCCACCAAGGATTCACTGGTTAATATAGGCCAGTTTAACCTACCTTAAATGCTAGTTTTTAGATCCCCATTTATTCATCCATGAACTCTTAGAAAATAGAGGCATAAATGGGGTAAATGTACAATAGGAAAAGTAATAAGTAGCATAATAGGTGAGGATTCTTCGAATAATTTATGTTAACTACCACATAAATTTTCTCTTTAGCTGATTGGAAAAAGTAGTATTTGTTGATAGCAGTCCCACAACCATAGGTTCTTTTGAGGAATGGCGCAGAACACAAAGCAGAGATGAAATTTATTTCCCTTTATTATAGAGGAAGTGGAAGTGTTGTGTTGTACTTATTTTTATCATTATGCTTAGATATCTTAGATTTCTAGATTCCTTATTCCTTTGTTTCCGTATCTATGCCTTACTTCTTATAATTACATCTATGTTTTATTTCTGTTTGAAAATCTTATTTGTTCTGCTATATCTATATCTGTGTTTCTGGCAAACTACTTCTGAAATCTTGCCAAGAAAACTTCAGGTTTGTCCAGGCAGTTGCCAAGAGTCAACACTGATTCACACATAAAAAAAAAATCTCTTTCTGGGCTAATTCTCCCTCCTCCTTTTCAAACAGCAAATGTTTTAGTTAGAGTACTACTGTTTTGATCCTTACTGGATCCTTCACTGGCAAACTTGATCTTGGTTGTTTTCTTGCATATGTTTCCTTACCCAAACCAAGTAATATCATCAGATGCAACAAAACAATTAAGCTCAGAGAACACCCAAGGACTCCTCATTTCAGCCCCGAGCTACAAATATTCTCCTTTATTGAAACTAGCTATAGCTGTGCTGTAGGACCTTCCAGTCTTACTGAGGTGAATATGACTGTTGGACTGATGTTGCAGCTAAGCTTCTCCAGGGCTTCACCACTGGTGTGACTTTCAAGGCTACTAATGCCATTTAACCATCTCCCTAATGCTAGTCCTCTTCAAGGATGCTAATGTCAAATTGTTTCTTGGCATTTATATTTCCTGCGCTGCTCTTTGCCAAAATCTTGTGGAGCCATTCTTCTCTTTCAAATAGCACCCTGAAGATCATCAATGTTTTTGGTTGCCCTGTCAGTCCTATGCCATGCCTCATTTCACTTACCTTTCACAATAACACACTAGTGGTAGCTTTTTAAATAGTTGGTAAAAGAGTGGAATCTGGATCAAAAGCTCCTAAACCTCATTCTACACCTTTACCCTACCATAAATTTTAATAAAACAATTCAATTAAAAATCCATAAAATTGGAACTTGTAAACATTGTATGTTATTTGCTGACTAAGGATCAAAATTACAGTATTGATAAGCCTGTTTTCAGCTTTGGACTCTGGAAACAAGGACCCTGTGGAATGGAAAAGACCAAGAAATATGGGCTGAGCCTTGGAAAAGAAGTTGATGGATCAGATAGGAGGCTTCCATTACTTTACCTTCACTTTAAAGACTGATTTCGATAGATTCGGCAGTCAGACTTCTCTTTTGAAATATTTAGGAATGAGGATTGCTCTAGATAAGAGATAGATAAGATATGATAAGATAAACTTTATTGCCTTTTTTTTTACTGTGGGCACAATGGCACACATCAAAAATGAAATTTAGTTGCCCGCTCTCAAAGTGAAACACATACATGACACACACCTAAACATACTATGTACAACATATGTATAGACCCACACCCCTACATATACATAGCAAATAAATATTAAATACTGTCCATCTTGAATATATAACGGAAAGAGGAAGCTTGAGAGTTCACAAGGTTAATGCTGTATGGAATGAAACTATGGTTAAATCTAGATGTTCTGCTACGGATACCACGAAGCCTCCTCCCAGAAGGTAACAAGGAAAACAGGTAGAGGAGAGGATGTGTAGTGTCCCACATAATCTTACGGACCCCGCTCAAGCAACGCTTCTGTGCTATGTCCTGGATGGGAGGGAGGGAACTGCCAATGATCTTTTCAGCCATCCACACCACTCTCTGCACCACCTTCCTATCTGAAGCAGTGATGCTTCCAAACCAGACTGTGATGCTGCATGACAGGATGCTCTCGATCGTCCCCCTGTAGAAAGTGGTCAGGACAGGGGAAGGAAGATGTGCTTTTCTCATGGGATGCAGAAAATGCAGGCGCTGCTGTGTCCACTTCACCAGTTTCTCACTGTTGAGTGACCAAGCCAGCCTACTCGTTAGCTGCATACCTAGGAATTTGACTTCATACTTTTGTTATTGTTTTGTGATGCTCAGAGGATTTGTATGTTGCATAGAAGCTTTCAGCATTTTACGAGTCATATGATTTGGTACTATTGAAGTAATTATTCTAGAGAAATACATTTCTTAATTTTTGAAACTAACATTCTCTTCCTTCAGGATTTAGTTGTTCGCCTAACTGAGGATTCAGATCCCCTTTTCCTGTATAATCTTGTTATTTCTGAGGAAGATTTTCAGAGGTAGGTTTTCGTGAATGTTCTGATTTTTTATACATTTTAAGTACACTATCCAGCATTAGTAATAAAGGATATTGGTACAATAGTCTTGCCACAAAAAACCCCCCAAATTAATCTCTATAATGTTAGGATTAAAGTATATAACTCAGTACTTTTATGGAAATATTATCACTGTTGTTTGGTATGTTTAGTTTTGTTCTCTTTTTCCATGAAGTATGAATACTAGCCTTAGTCTACGGATCTATGTGGATCTATTTAGGCCAGTATTTTTCAAACTTGGTAACTTTAAAACATGTGCATTTCAATTCCCAGAATTTTCCCAGCACACCTGCCTGGCGAATTCTATGAATTGAACCCCATGCATCTTAAAAATTGCCGAGTTTCACTGACAAACATTGATTTAGACTGTCAACATTTTGAAGAGAAAGGCACTCTTATTTCAGGATCATGTTCTAGGAATTAGATGAAAACTACTGGGCTAAAAAATAAATAATGCTAGAAAAGGAAATGAGTATTACTGCAGTAATAAGTGATAAATTGAAATGACAGGTAAATTGTGCTAGCATTCCAAAAGGTTATAAGAAAATTGTTTTGTAATTTTTTTCAGGGCCAAACACTTTAGAATGCTTAGCTTTTGAAAGAAATGTCTTGAGGATTAGCTGCTCTTACACACATTACATTGGTAGGTGTATTTAATTTTTTCTTTTTTTCTGTGTAGTTTAAAACTCCAGCAAAGTCTTCTGGTAGATTTTTCTGCTTTTCCTCAGAGATTTATAGATCTTCTTCAGCACTGTATCCAAGAACAAGATAAAGAAATCCCAAGGTTAGTAATACATAAACAGTACTTTATATCATCTTCAAATCAAAGAATATAAATAATATTTGTAAATCAATCATTTAGAATATCAAGTTCAAGAAAGTAAAACTCAAATTAAAAAAAGGGAGAGAATAAGATTATTTACCTTTGTTTGTTTCTAGAATCTTTTGATGGCTTAGAGCTGCCCTTATATGTTATTTTTTTAGGGGTTGGCTATTCAGGCAAAAAGCACAAGCAGTAGTAGTATCTCCATCTTACAGGTAGTCCTCACTTAACAATTTGTTCGGCAACTGTTCAAAGTTATGATTGTGTTGAACAAATGATATTTACGCCTGGTCCTCAAAGCTACAACTATTACAGCCTCTTGTGGTTACATGGTGAGAATTTAGGCCCTTGGCATTTACTATTGCAGGATGTGTTTCAATTCCCCCCCCCTCCCCATCTATCCCCCTCCCCCCCTGCACATTTTTTGTCCTGCACTCTGCATCTTGTCATCATCTTCCTCCCACTGCTAATAAATTGCACCTGGCCTTGGTTCTTCACAAGGCAGCTGCTGGCTGCATGTGGCCTTCTTTCTGAAACTGCATGCCTCCTTTCTAAGGCCTTGCAAGGCATTCCGAAGGCTGTAGCTGCTTCATGAAGGCCCAGGCTGGGCACACCTTGTCAGTAGGAGGAAGAAGGCAATAAAGGCCAGCTGAGGACAGCAGATCACAAGGTGGAGGAGGTGGCTACTACTGGGACTTCACGCTGGAGAGCTGGGGTGGTTGTACAGTAGCTAGGGCAGCTGGGCCTTTGAAGTAGTGGCTGAGGCTTTGCATCACGGTGTTGGGTTGGCTGGCCATGGTATGGAGTTGAGGGAGTATTCCTTGATGGCAGGAGCTTTGCTAACTGCTCTAGGACTGAAGTAGAGGCCTGGGGCAACAGAGGCAGGGTGAATTTGCCGAAGGTCCTGGGCCTCTACCTCAGCCCAGCTGCCACTGCCTACGAGGAATGCCACTATGTAGGGCAGCCAAAATGTTCTGAGGCAATGACAGCTGGGGGTTTATGTCATGGGGCGGCTTCACCCTGTGATGTTGGGATGGCAGCAGCTGGGGCTTTGTGGTGTGCTGGGATAGCTGGTCATGGCATGGGGCTTGAGGTGGCACTCATTGGTAGTGGTGAAACTGGTGGCACTGGGGTTGAAGTAGAGGCCTGGGGATAGCAGTTGTATTCTAAAAATCACAACCAAACCACGGTGTCGAGTTTTATCAGTGCGATTTGAGGCTACTAAAAATGTTCATGAGCAAAGATTTCCCATTCTTCCTTAGGGATTATAAGTAGCTTTGCCTTTTTTGAGGAGGCAGATATTGTTTCTGTACTAATGTGCAATAAAAACAAAATACTTCTCAATGGAACCACAGAGTTTGCTATATGATTACAGCTAATTATTATTTTGTTATATGTGATATTTTTTCTTTTCAGATTTTTGCTACAGCTGGTTTCTTCAGGATCTAGTTTAGATCATACACCCTCATTTCTAAATGTGGTTGAGACAAATCCATTTAAACATCTTACCCATTTATCACTAAAATTCTTACCAGGAAATGATGCTGAAATCAAGAAATTTTTGGCATCCTGCCTCAAATCTTCTAAGGTACAATGATAGTTTCAGTTACATATATATATATATACATAGGTAGGTGTTGCTTTTTTTAAGCAATAATAATTATTTTTGGTCATTAAGAGAAGTGAAAGATGAAGTTAAATGGGACATACTACCGAATTAAGGCTCACTAATATCCTAGCTTTATTTATTTATTTATGAGACTTATATACTGCTTTAAGTGCAAGCACTCTCTAAGCGGTGTACACCAGTAAGCAATGTATATATATATATTTACATTGCCCCCAACAATCTGGGTCCTCAGCTTTAAATTTCTTTGTATATTTAAAATTGATCGATAGTAATACAATGAAATCTTAGTTTAACAGACCATTTGAGAGGTAAGGGATGTCTTATTTTTGACTGTCCATTAAATCAAAGAAAACACCATCTGGAGTGATAGGAAAATTTTATCCATTAAATCCAAAGTCATTTCTTACTGAAGTCTAAATTGAAATTTCATCTAGTTTCGAATGAATATTCTAAAAATATTTTAAAAAAGAACCAAACAGCCTGTGTAACTCCTGTAGTATAAATATGCTTGCAAATGATGTGTTAAATAAGGCAATCTTATAGTATAAGCCTGTGCATGTCGGCTGATAAAAAGCCCTCCAATGTCCAGGAGAATATATTACAATTAATCACTTTGTAGACTGAAAATATATTGATGAGAAACTTTCAATTGTTTATAGGAACAAAAGTTATTGCTAGAACAAAAACTTAGCAGAACAGAGGAGGACCTTACAAGACAGCTGAATTATACACAGCAGGTAAGAGCAAAGCTTCAGTATGCCCCAATTTATATAGAAAATTAATATAAATATATTTAGCTATTTTAGCTATATTAAGAGTTTCTAACTATAAAGCTAATGGAACATATATTGCTGAACTTTCATATAGAAATAAAGAAAATTTTATCAGAATAGCAAATTATAGCAAAAGTGGTTATATTTTGAAGAATAACAAATTAACTGTAACATAAGCTTAAGTGAGTGAAAGCCTAACTCATTAGAGGAAATTCATGTTTTAATATGCTACAAAACTTTTTTTAAAAGAAAACATTTAGATTAATATAGGATTGTGAAGGTATGCAGAACAATATATTGCTATATGTTTTAAATAGACAAATAAGACATCATGACTCTGTTCCTATAATAAAACTTTGTTAGAGTTAAATTCTAGGATTATATGAAACCCTAGTGACTATGCTTTTTTCTCTTAGGCCTTGTCAGAAAAGAGCAGAGAATTAGATAATTTAAGAAGCGAATGGGCCTCCAAGATAGCATCATTGAACAGCAAACATACTCAGGAACTATCAAATGAGAAGGAAAAAACTCTGCAGGTATATAAATAATACAGTGTATAAAACAAATGATTCCTTTTAAAATTAAGAATTACTAAAACACTTTCTATTTTTCATAGGCACAAGCACATTATCAGCAACAGAATGAGCAACAGAAAAGAGACTTGGAAAACTTGCATCAGAAAACTGTCCAGCAACTGCAGAACAGGCTGAAGGAGCTGGAACTTGCTAACAAAGACTTAATGGAAAGGAGATACAAAGGCGATTCCACAGTCAGGGAACTTAAAGCAAAATTATCAAGTGCAGAAGATGTATGTAACATTTGCTAATTTGTCTATTTAAAGATCTGATTTTCATGACTTAACAATTTCTAGTTGTATACTTTATAAGCACTTAAAAATACAGCAAATATTCCACATTATAATAGGTGAATGTAATGCAGTTATATGATCTAAACAATTGTTGCAGTGTATACTTTTTAAATCAAGCTTAAATCTTTAAAATACTTTAGAATGCTTTATTTTTCCAATCGATAAGGAATGCCAGAGAATGAAGCAAGAAGTTCTATCCTTACGTCGGGAGAATACTACCTTAGATGCTGAATGCCATGAAAAGGAGAAGCAAGTTAATCAACTGCAGATGCGAGTTGCTGTTTTGGAACAAGAGATCAAAGATAAGGACCAGCTAGTTGCTAGAACAAAAGAAGTATTAGAAGCAACACAAGAGCAAAAGGTTCCTAGCATTTTTCCCTATAGTACCATTATAACAAACGTAGTCATTAAAGTTCATTATGATCTAAAATGTTATGTTACGTGTTTGGCTAAGTGTACGTGACTAGGCACATGCTGTCTGATTTGCAAATAAAAAGCTCCGTTGGAGAAGACATGAACATGCAAGTTCTACCTGTCAGTTGTTTTAAAAAGCTAGGTAGCTTCATGATTTCAAGAGGAAGAAACAGAGTATTCATAGCCATTTTAAAGCAGTTTATCATACTCTGCCTCCTTAACTCAAACTTATTTTCCTGGGGTTGTATGGTTGCCTTGCAAACCAAGGGAAAAACATAGCTAATTTAAGGAGACATCTTTTTGATTTCAGCTTTGGAGTATAGAGCATCTCTGTGTATTACCGGTAAGGTTTACATTATGTGAAAAGAAAAGCCTTTGTGATATCGTTGTCTGGATTTTTTATTTTTTGTTTTTGAAAGTTAGCCTATTTTAGTGTAACAATAGAACACAATTTTTGACAATCTGAAGCTTCTTTGCCAAACTAGTAATATGGTTCATTAGAACTTGGCTGTGTTTAGAAACACTTTGCATACACCATCTTCTTCCCCCACCCACAAATTATAGCTTGTAGAACATATTGCTGTATCAAGCATTATTAAACATTTTTGCAGATATTTAATAAGACATTAAAGTTTCAAAGTGCTGCTGGTTTTACAGACCACCTTATAGGATTTGCAGAACTAACCAGCTCCTTGTATATTTAGAAACCAATCCATGCAGGTTTTCACTCTTATTCGTTACATAATCTTCCTAACATATACTCTTTCAAAGGCAAACCTGGAAGAAAATGCAGAAAAGAAACAACTTCAGATAGGAAAAATGGAAACCTCACTGAAAGCTCTATCAACTGAGTTCCTTAAGGTTTGTTTAAAGATAGTATTCCTTTTTATAATTATGGTTTGATTTCATCTGATCATCATCTAGTATTCTGTAATATTGTTTCCAGGCCAATGAGATAATAAAGAAATTGCAAGGAGATGTAAAAACGCTAATGAGTAAGCTGAAATTGAAAAACACAGTAACAGTTCAGCAAGAAAAGCTCTTGGCTGAAAAGGAAGAAAAACTACAGAAAGAACAAAAGGATTTACAGGAACTGGAAAGTTCTCTTCGAGAAAAAGAACAAGAGGTAACTTGAAAGTCTTGTTTCTAAATAGTAAATGCATGAACAAATACTAAGACTTCCTTTCATCAGAAATAATATTTTCTTTTTTCCTATAAACCCACTCTTCTCTGGAATGAAGCAAAGATTTCCTCAGTTTTAACTCATTTCTTGGTCACCTTAAGTTTCTTGAGAAAAATGGTTTCTTAGCAAAATGATTTATTATTATTAAGGAATTATTTTCCTATTTCCCAATCTTATTTACTGTCCTGGATTTTCCTAGTGGTATTCCATCCAGGCATTAACAACATTCAAACCTTGTTTTCCGTTTTTTAGGATCAGATAATATTAATTAGGTGCTACCAGTTGCTTTGACATATTCCGAAGTATTTTTGTTTTATGGTCTTTAAAATAAAAATGCCCATAGATTTATATACATTTATTTATTTAGATTTCAAAAGCAACTTATACAGTGATATTATTTAGGAAAAATGTCTTCTGACGTTAATTTTGAAATATTGCTTTGCTATTAGGGATAAAAATATTTCAGATAATTAATAATATGAAAACATTTCAGATATGCAAATTGCAGGAACAGTTAGAGGCTACAGTACAAAAACTGGAAGAAAGCAAACATCTCCTCAAAACAAATGAAAATGGTATGTGGCTTTCTTGCATTAACTACTGTCTATACTTTCAACAGTGTATATTTTAGTACCGTATTTTCCGGCGTATAAGACGACTTTCTAAAGCGCAGAAATCGGCGCTGAAGTCAGGGGTCGTCTTATACGCCGAGTCGTCTTATACGCAAGGAATTACGGTATATAGAATTTATTAGAAGATATAGTCTTAGTTTGGGCTAGGCATTTTCTCTGTTATCTATTTGTTTAGGCAATGATTGTGAATGTTGGATTTAAGATAAAGATGAATAGTCCTTTTTTAAATATTTGAAGAATTTTTGAGGGATATTGAAGAATGATTCTGAGGAATGCCAGGCTTATTTTCCCTCCTTATAAATATACATTTGTTTTGTCTGTATTAATGCAACCAGTGCATTTATTTTGTTTCCCTTGTAAATGATACATAGAAGTTCCTGCTTGTCACATAGGATTTATCAGTTCCTAATCGTATTCAAACTAAGATTGCAATTCTATAAATTTGTGTTTGGGAGTGAACCTCTATAACTCCGTTCTTAACATAAATGCACTGGTTTAACTTTGAAAGCGTAATCTATCCAGCCACATTCAGAATTTAATTTTGACTTTGTTTTAAAATTAAAAATATTTGGGATGAAAAGCGAAGTGCTTTTTTTCTCTGCAGTCATCACATGGCTGAATAAACAATTGAACGAACTTCAGCTGACAAGGAAGCAAGAAATGCTAGGGACATCTACTTCTAGCAACACTGTTTCAAGAACTGGCAGCTCTCCTCATAGTATGGTAATAGTAAACTTCTTGTGTGTTCATCTTTGATACTGACCACGTTGCTGTCTTTCATAGTTTAATTTCTAAGTAAGAAGAGAAAATTCAATGGGAGGGCACACTTCGCATAAATTCTTCAGAAATGGATGGGTTGTGGGGCTTAGTTGGAATTGAGCTATTTTCCTTCATCCTGATAAAAATATGAGGCTTGAGATTAGCATATTTCCTCCCATTTGCTTCCTTTACCATCCTGTCAATAGATGGTAAACTTCTAGATAGGGTCAGAGAGGAGAGCAAATGCTTCAGCCTGAGATTCAAGCCAAGTATTGACAGAAGCAGAGGATCTTAGCTTCAAGCAAATTAAATTTAGACCTAGGCAAAATATGAACTGCAATATATGAAGTGTAGTAAGTATGAACTTTGATTATGCTTGCTTTAAACAAAGACAACAGGTATGAGCTAATTTGTTTTTTGGGTTTTTTTGCAGGCTGATAATAGGATTACGTCTTTAAACTCCGGACTGAACTATCCCATCTCCCCCTTGCTAGCTTTCCAAAGTTTCCCAGAAGCAGCTGCTGTCAAAAATGCCAACCAACAGATATCAGGAACAAAGGCAAGAAATTTAAGATGTTTATTTTTAATAAGATTCCATTACATTGTATCAAGTCATGTCATTTCCATTTTATTGATTTTTGCCCAAAACAAAATCCTTCTTCTCTTCTTCTGCTACTCTGGGTGACTACCATCTGTGGGGAAAAGCATAACAACTAGGGATGAGTAATGAAAAAAAAATCCTAAAGGCTCCATATATCAGTCAGAGTTTGTCATCCGGTTCCTTAAGTATGGACCTGAATGGCCGGAATAATCCCCCAGTCGATATGCATGCAGTTAACTCAAAAAGCTGCAACTTATACTTTTGTATTTTTTTAGATTATTTATATCGCCAACCTCTCAAACTAATTCAGGTCAGCATACAGATAAAAAATCCACAAAAGTCAACAAGAAAATATAATACAACAGATAAAAGAAATTCTACCGAAGAATCCAAGTGCCTAAAAAAAAAAAGGCAAGGGTTTAAAGCTTTAGAAAAAGGCAGAGTGGGGTCATCTGTATTTAATGTAGAATATTATTCCAACTGCGTAAAACACTATTGGCAAAATGATTGTGCAAGTACTAAGAGAAAACCATACATTTTTCTAACAGCTAATATCATTGTCATGCAAAAGACAAAGGTGCCACGAGTGAACCATACGGATAGTATTATTGCTGTAATTTACTGTAAATCAGATGTCAGTGATGATGTCGGACAATTTATTATTAGTGCTCTTTGAGAAAGCTAATTCTGCTTTAAATAAATGTATTGACAATTTATATTATTCAATCATTAAACATTTCTGTAATAATACGTATAATTTTTCTTACATGTAATATTGTATGACTAAGACTTTGATACATAAAATGGCAAAAAATATAATATTGAAAAAATTCTTTTTCCAGCAGGTTCACTTCAATGTCCAGCCCTCAGAAACAAACAGATGTTCAGAAACCCAGCCAGGGATTTCTGGGCTGATAGGTCATTCAGCAAACAAAGAAAAGTAAGCAGTTGAGAGTGGACCTGAGGAGAAAACTGGGAGCATTTAAAGAGAAAGTGGAAAGGCCATTTGGAATTGAATAGGAAGGCAAACTTGGCAATTGGGAGGAAGCAGAACTAATCTGGGGTAGAAGCCAAAGGGTTGAAGGAACGTGTAGAGTGAAAGCAACAGTGTCACTTCTAGAGGTAGTCATTATTCTAAATGGAAGAAAACCATTATTTCTTCCAATGGCACTATATTAGAATTTCTCTTTTCTCAATACTAAGATGGTGTGGGAGCCACCAAGGCAAAGATTAAATGCACCAGAGAATTCAGTGTGGAAGGTCTAATAGGAAATGAAATACAATTAATGTAAGCCATATTCTGTCATGTTCTAACAAGAGCAATGTATTTACCTATAATATATTCACTCTGAACTCCTATGAAAATAATGACTTCTAGTAAAGGCTTACTTATGAATGTAATTGCCACCTGAGTAAACTGTTGCTATTGATGTAGAAAGGATAGATATGATTGATGAACAGGTAGAATAGTTAATCTGCTTCTAAAAGGATCCACATTTTCAATTCCAGAGGTGAGGCCCTTGACCTGACTTGAGTGGAAAAATAGGTTTTCTCATTACCTTTTGGAAAGAGACATTGCCTTAACATTTGTTCTTCTTTCCACCATCCCCTCTCTAGACATAGCTTTTAAGTATTTAAGTTATTCCTCTAATAAGGAATGAACTACGAAGTTTTATATATATATATATATATATATATGTATATAAAAATGACACCAGACCCACACTCACAAAAACCACATAGGATGTCACCACCACACATCCATGCAAAAAGCAAAACCAAGGCCACACCGATGATGAGACACGACCACAAACCAGAAGCCAGACCACAGCTGCATCATTAGCCACTTTAAACCCCTCCAATCCATACATGAAGCAAACTGACACCCACCATGAAGATGAGGCACGACCACGAACGCGAAGCCAAAAAATAGCAAGGCAGCCCACCATCTTAAATCCCCCTGCAACTCAGACTAACCTGAGCACAACCAAACAGAACACTCCCCCAGCCAATCAGAGCACAGCCAACCCCCCAGCCAATCAGAGCATAGCCAAGCCCCTAACCAATCAGAACACACCTCCACCCAATCAGAACACAGCCAAGCTCCCACCCAATCAGTTCATACTCCCACTGGCAGTTAAAAGGAAGAAACAGCTAAGACCACACATTGCTCCTCGAAGCACGAAGCTGAAAACACCAGCCTGAAGATGACGAATGGGACTTTGTCGAAACGTCGCCAAGACCCTTCCAATTGTACGTGGGAGAAAACCCGAATAAGCAAAGACCTACATACAAACACCCGCAAAAACCTCAAAAAACAAATATATATATATATGAAAGAAAATTAACATTAAATTGACATATTATTTCCCCCATAGTACAGAAAAAAACCCCTAATGTTCTTTTTTTTTCTTTTTAAGAATAGCTTGGGGAGTGTGCAGGGAAATGTTAGTATGTCTTCAGGCAGACAGAATATATCTTGATGAATTTTAATAGTGATTCAGGTTATTACCCACAGTAATACTTTGGGGGGGGGGGAATTAGGTCAGTGAAGAAACATCTAAAAGCAAATATCTGAATTGTTCCAGGGACTAGATCATTTTTTCATTTTCCCAGAGTCTAAGCAGAATGCCATCACTTCATGGAACATGGCTCCTTATAACAAAGATGCCATAGGAACAATTATAAAATATACCTAAGATCCTTCATCTGACCGGATCTCTTAAAGTTTGTCAATGCACTGTATATCAGTGCTGTGATCAGTCATATGCCACTCTCCACCTTTGTATGATGTTTCAAAAAGATGATGATATTTAAGTATAATGAGATGGTCTGTTTGATAGTAGCAGAAAAACCAGGTTTCCAGAGACAAACTCTTAAGGAATTAACATAACCACATTAAACTTAAGGAATTAAGCCTTGAATATAGGAATTTCTGTCCCTAGGATATGATTTTGAGGTCAGCGTTCATGAACCTGCTGTCTTAAATAAAGTAATTCATAGGAGATCTGCAATTGCATTTGAAATTCTTGCAAATTTTCATGAAAACTTAGAAAACTCTTTAAAAAATGACTGCTTACAACAGTTCAATTTCCTTTTGATTTAGTGGTGAAAATGTGGGATTGGAAACAAAGTATTTAAAGAAAAGGGAAGACAGCATACCTTTAAGAGGGCTCAATCAAAACGCAACTCAAAACACAGGTAAATGTGTATACATATATAAATATATACTTATATTTAATTAAAATCAAAGAATTTTCTCAAAATTTCTGAAAACTTAAAGATATTTCAAGATCAATTCTTATCATTGCAGGATACATGAAGTCCTCTGCACCAAAAAAAGTGCAGATTCCATGCAAGCCAGCAGCACCTTCTAAAACTTCTGCCTACTTTCCTGGATAGCACGTTGTAATTAAAGGTTTATAACAATTTTTTTAAAACAATTAGCATTTACATGCATTTGTTTCCCTTTTGAAATATCAACATTAAAGTAATCAAGTATCAACATCAACATTAAATAGATTTCTGGGTACTAAAGTGAACTAGTTCTAAGATGCTTAAATGACTATGTTTTTCTATAATACGAAGTGAATATTTGTCGAATGGATAGACGTCTAGACTCCTAACTGGTTCTTCTCTAATAGTCCGTTTACATTTTCGCATATGCAAGGTATTTGTTTTCAGTTTCAAGTATCAAAGATGCCCTATCCGATAAGAAATGGCTTACTGTTATTTCTATGCCAGAAGTTTATGGAATGTGGGGCTCAAAAGTGAAAGAATTGTGAAAGGCTTAAGGAGGAATTTACCTGACACAAATAGAATTGTTTGCAGAATTTTGGAGCTCCATTTTTCAGAGTCTACAATTCTGCAGGGAATTCTGCTTAAATCTATTCAGTGCAGCGCAAATAGATCTGCCTTATTGTTCTAACTATATAATACTGCAATCTCAGGGAGGGGTATGGCAGATGGAATAGGGTATGAGGCTCCTGGTTCTCCTACGTATGTCAGCCTAAATACGCATAAACTTTCATACCATCTTTAATTTAGCAATTTTGACATGTCAAAAAGAATGTACAGATTGTTACAATTGTTTCTAAGTTGGACATTTTTCCAATTATCTATAGATTTAAAGATTTTGTAATGATGCTACTACATGGCCAAACTACACATTTCCAGCTTGAATAGCAAACTCAAGGGTCTAGCTTGAATAGCAATGGGTCTCTTGGCCATAAGTAAAAATGATTATTTGATGATGTTTGAAGCAATTTTTAAACACAGTATTGTCTGGTTTCTAACCATGTTGGAAGAAAAACATATAAACTGGCTCAGTCAAGTTCTTTTTGTTACCTTTGGAACGCATTTGAATCCAGGTATGCGAATTGTTTTTAGTAATTTTAATGAAACTATTAGTAATATTTAGGAATGCAATACTAGTGCCCACAAATCTATCATACACATTTGTTTTAGAGTATTTTAGAATGCCTGTGTTGTTGGTTAATAATATTGGCACATTTTGTCCAGGGTTTAGAAGGCAGTACTTAAACCACTGATAAATGTTGGTATATATTTGGCAAGGTTTTCCCTCTGCTGTACATATTTTTGTTCATGAGTGTAGTTTGCTGTCTGAACATAACGGGTGCCTAATTTTAGCATTTAATTTTGCAACATATATTTAAATTGAAATGTTAGGTCTGGAAACTGGTCTGTGGCATCATATGTAGTGACTAATACTTTTAAGCTGTGATGTAATATAAGAAAGATTAACAGGATAATGTTATTTTTGCTGCTATTCCTTTGAAATGTGCAAACCATTTTGCATTTGGAACAGTTGTTTTTGAGAACTGTTTTGAATGTGCAATGTTTTGCACTTATTCTGTTCAGGTGTTTTTAACTCTAGATGGTCTGCTCACATAGTTGTAAAAAAATTGGGTTTCCATTTGCTAAGCAATTATGTTTCAATATGTTACATAACATTGGTCTATGGACTGTGGGAAACAAAAGTCTGTACAGTGTCTTATATTTAGACCTCTGCTGCCCAGTTTTCTTTACTGTAAAGAGTGATGAGGTTCAGGTGTTCTTGCCGTTTTCGATCATGGGGATCCCTGTAGAAAAATGGATGTAAGAATATCCTAGAGCTGCATGGAAAGATAAAAATCACGAATCTTTCTAGCTGGAGTTTGCAGTGGGACAACTGTGCCTCTAAAACATTTGACAGTCCAGCCAATTTTAAGCTTTATGAAATGCAGGGGAAAAGTTTTAGCATGCTGTAAGAACTTCATAATTATAGCTGGAAAATTTCTAGATATTAGTCCCATATAATCTCCTTTAATGGGATTTTATTACATTCAGACTTTTTTCCAAACAGAACTGCTCCGAATATCTTGTAATTTTTGTCAAATATGCATTTAGATAAATCTAACATATAAACTTGGTCATTTAAAGTGTGAACTGAAATCTCTTCAATTGCTTGGGTTTAAAAGTTTCAAGATATTTTAAGTGATTTGGATTTAGATACTGGCTTTTGTAATTCTGTATATTGAGTGAAAAATAACTGAAATCATTTAAATGTGTTATTGCACCATTATTTGCAGTGTAAAATGTGTATATTTGTCTATAATCTGAATGTAGTGTTCATTCATATATATATACATATATACATATGCGCATCTGTTCATTTTAATAAAACTTTTACACAGATGTTTAGTTTCTGTCCAGAGTATAAACTTCAGCTTTCTTAATATGGAAAAGGAACATTTCTGCTATGGTACAGTTAAGATTTTAGAAAGTGAAGACTAGAGCAGGGGTGGCATGCCAGCAACCGGTCCACACAAACCGTGTGGATACAGGCAGCATACAAAACCACACTCTCTCCAGTCTGCAGAAAAAGCTCTCCACAGAACTGGTCCCTGGTGCTCAAAAGCTTAGTTAGGGATCTCTGGACTAGAGGAGTCTTTGTTTCACTCCTGTAAAAAGTTATCTTTTGCCTCATATAAAAGCTTGAGAGGAATCACCATGATAGCTGTTAGAACTTAGTCCAAATTTCTAGACTAAAGCTCTTACTTTTGTGTTAATTACAAAAAAGTGGATAGGTCTTGATGACTTTCATAGTAGGAACTGACGTTCCTTTCCTGGTTCCCATTCGTGTTGGAGGCACCGCTTAAAGCTCTTGTTTCTTGGTATAAAATAGCATATAAGAGGCGACATATAAACATTCATGTAGTTAGGGTGCGTTACCTACAAATGAAGGACCTGCTTTTCCAAAAATTGCCTCCAATGACATAGTCATATGCAGGCAAATTAGAATTTTTATGTTACTACCCGGAATTAAGAATTATTCTCCTTCCCCTACCACATAAAGTGATGTTCCAAAAAGCTAGTAACAACAAAATATACTTATAAATAACAAAAACAGGTATCTGCTGGTGAATCAGCTTTAGTACTACTTACTAAATGTGCCTAAGCTACCTTTTGCGGTTTTGAGAGCTATTTAACATGTTTTCATCAAATTGCCTGTAATAATAGCAAGAACAAAAAAACTCTTTAAAATTTTAGTTCGGGTGTCTGTTAGAAGAGCAGTGCTTCAAACATCTAGTGCCAACCCACATAGGGCTAATTTATAACCAATACTTTATTGGTGTAGGCAAGAATTAGTCAGTGGATTGATTTAAACACGTACTGCACATGATTCATATCAGTAGATTCTATAGATAAGCTAATATTTTTCAATTTAAGAATGTCAGTTGCATAAAAAGCACACTATACCAATTAAGTCACATGTGATTAAGCAATATATAATTGTTACTGGAACCAACTTGAGCGGAGAATAGGCCTGTTATTTGTGGTAAACCTCATGATTTAATATGCCTGAATACCCAGCTGCTCAAATTATAGAACTGACCTTAAAATGTAGTTTCCCACTATTTTCTTGTTTCCAGAGGCTATCAAGCATTTAAAGCAGGACCAAGAGAATAGTCTAGCATCAAATGAGTTGTGTTCAACACATACTAAGTTTTTCTTTGATTCATTTCTGATTGACCAGAAAAATCCCGTTGTGTGTGCATGCACACAGAGAAAAAACTCCATTCTCACTAAAGATGCTAACTTTGCCCATGTAAAATCCCAGTTTAAAAGCCTGCCCTGTCCAAATACATCCAGAAGACTAGATACTCACTAGATGAATGAATGCTCCAATTTAATGGTTAATTTTCCATGCTCCTATCTTAGAATGAATCAAAGAGCTCTCTAAAATGTAGTAAGACTCAAGTAATTTACATATTAAAGTTTTTGTTGGTAAAGAAATACTTCAGTGCTTTTTTACAAAGCTGCAAAGTAACTGGCAAGATATTTTAACAAGATTTCTCAAGAAAGCGCAAGGGAAGATTAAAATAAAAATCCAGAGCAGACCATATAGTAAGTACTACCTTACCCAGTATCTGAATTTTAGTGACTACAAAGAATTAACATTAAGATTTTAATATGTTACTGCTAGCTTGTGGAAATCTTTCTCTGTCCATCCCTCCCATATTTCTATTAACAATAAATTAGTTTATACATTTGCTAAGAGTTCATTTGTACTATATATCAATCCAGCCTTTTTTAAAGATCTCCCAAGAGAGTAGAAAAAAAACAAAAGACAATCCACCGGCCTCTTACTATGTTTCTACATCAATACGAAAATAAGGTTTAATAAACTTGGATCTAATATAAGCCATAGTATTTTTTAATGCAATAAAACCACAGTGAAATGGGATTAATGAGAAATGTTCTAAACATTAGTTAACACTGGAGAAAGATGCCTTACTACAGGCTAACTACAGTACTTTGTTTTCTTATTACTCAGAAGTGAGCTATCTTTGTTGTAACCTTACCCAGAGAAACTAAACTAGCACTACGCAATTGGAATAAATGTATGTACTGACCCAAAAAATCCTTCAGTATTCACACAATTACTGCTTTCCATTTTTCATCTGACATGATGTACCTTTTGTTTCAAGTGCTAAGGCTAAAGAAATCTTAATTAAAATTTCAGAAAGTGTTTTTCTAGCTACATAAATTCTTATGATAAAAATATATGCATATCTAGAACAAAATACGTGAAATGAAAGATGTACAATCAACTGTATTGACAGTATATTATACCAAGTATATCATTTTAAAAAAAATCACTAAAATATTCAACTTTTATTAACAAAGTATTTACAATTGTTCAGCTTCTATTCAACCGTGGTGAAAGTTTTTAAAAAACTTAAGCAATAACCACAGCACAAGAGGAAAACATTTTGAACTATACAATACTTTATACACATTTTATACAAAGGAACACTTAAATAATACAACTGGACACAAAAATATACACTTTTAGAGAAATTCACATCGGTAATTGTATAAAGCTCTCTCCTGTACTGTGGTCCTGAAAATGCAGGACTACCCCTTGGCTCTGAAGTGTTATTTGTGACAATCCTAAAAGGCCACCATAGAGCAAGAATTGCCACTTGAATTACTAGACAAGAGTATTTATTAGCCTGTCACACCCCCTACGTATGGAATTCACAAATAAAATAGTAGGAAAAGCTGATCAACTCTCTTTTGTCCTTGGTTCAAACCTGACCAGCTATTCATCCTGTCAAGTAATAGAAGTGACAATCATGTATAGAGCACATCGACATCATCAAGGCTGTCAGCTTAGAGTTGAGTTTGTACGTTCAAGTTTTGAGGTCCTTATGCAAAACATCCAAAGCATAGTGGTATCAAATTGTATTTATGAAGGTAGAGTGTTGGAGCCCATAGCAAAATCTAGGCTCGCACTACTACAGAATTAGCAGAATAATGCACTTAAAGTGTTCAGGATGTGTATTCAACACATGATTTGTGTTAGTAAAAAAAGAAAAAAAAACCTGTCAGACATTGATTTGAAAGTCCAATAGCAAACAAATTCACCTTCCCAGCCAAGTGCATCTATGTTAAGGCTTTGAATCCATCTGACCAACGATTTTACAGACAAAAGAGATACCCAAATTCTGCTTGTATGTCTCACTGAGACCAGCATGAAGAGAACGAAGCTTAACACCTTCAAGAAACTGATGCAGGAACACATGCTGATACCTTGTATATATATATATATATATATATATATATAATTTTGTTCAAAATTAAGGAGATTTAATATATTTAGGACTTTGACAAAAATCCTAGCTTCTTTTTAAAAACCAAAGTAATTTTAGTTGTAACTTCTTTGGATGATTTTCCATTTCCTGTTTGTGGTTCTTAACAGTTTTCATGCAAGAGATCCATTTCTTAAGAACATCTTAAGAAATGACAATTTCAGTGAAAATGGAATGTGTATCCAGAACTGCAGGTGAAAAAATAAAACTTGCTCTACGAGTCCTTGAGTTTTGTCATCATACATTTGTGTCCTGTAATAAGGGTTCTTTGGCCTCTCCAGGGGCCTGTGGGCTGTGTGGATGTCCATGTCCACCGCAGTGTTTTTTCCAGCTGCTAGAGCGAACATTTAAATTGGTATGTTCAGGAATAAACAAGGCAACGAGGAGAGCCAGTAATACAGAACATGCACCAAATAAGAATGGAGGCCCAGGAATGATGGAATTCTGGAAAGAAAAAAAAACAGCGGAGTTAGCATTAAGACAAAAAGTCAGGACTTTAGTTTATTTAGTTAAATTATGGTTAGATTATCTTACGCAAGAATGAAGTGAAGTGTGAACAATCTGATTTTGCGCTTCAGTATCGTGAGCTAGCTGTTTCTTTCCCACTGCTCTCCTCATTACTTCAGAGATTTCAAATCACTGAACTCTAATCTTGTAAAATTAGATAATAATCCTGCTCAACTCTCCTTTGGCTGCATGGCTTAAGTTTTTTTTCATCTCCTAAACACTTTATATGGCATAGTTGGAGAGCAACATCTAAATCCGAAGCTGCATATATTTTGCAAAGATGAATTGTATCGATGTTCAGGGAATTAGTTGTTTATATTGCAGGCCATATATAAAACTGATATCTTCATGCATACAGGGTTTATATGGTTATGTAATGATACTCTATTATTTCTTTTCCATAGGTAAGTCATCACTCGTCTACAGGTTGCATTGTTAATTTGGCATTCCACCTGTGCCCCATCAGATGGCACTATTTCAAGGAAGTGTTTCCTCCCAACATGTGGGATACAGGAATACCATTAGGGAAAGACAGTCCCTCAAATAAGCAGCATTTTTTGTACATGTTATTAAAATACCAACAATTAAACTGTAATCCACCCAGAATTTTTGACGAGGCTGATGACCTCAAATTTGAATTAAATAAATAGTTCAGTCCATGCACATTGGGCTTTAGGTAATAAACAGCATGCTGAATTGCAAACCAAAGCTATTACTCTATCCTGGCCTTAGGTTCTAGATAATGCACAATATTGGGATCACATTGTGCTAGGGGGAAGACTGAGAATCACAATCCTCTGACTACACAATTTCCCATCCTGATTTGGATTTTGTACATACTGTCAGGTGTAAGAAGTCAGGAATTAAAGTAGAGTTCAAAAGCACTACAAGTTTCTTTCATGCTATCTATACACAAGAATCTGAACTACCAAAGATCAAGAATTGGCACCAGATACAGGTCAACAGACTTCAAGGGGAAGTCTCTCACGGGGACGTAGAGACTCCAAACTGATGATGTGTTTGACCCCATCCTTGGGCTCAGCCTGGTCGTCTCCTACACATATATCGCAACAGAAGGGCAGCTATACTTCCAATGTTACATGGCAGGCAAGCTATAAGATCTCTACAAGAATTTGTACATTTCAGTTGCTTTCGCTTGTTTGCTCAATAACTCTTAGCTTACAGAATCTGGACCTACAATTGTATCTATATGGAGAAATGGATCCCATTTCCAAATACTACCTTTTGAGAACTAGGCCAATATAAGTATCAATCAGTCTAGCACATGAATGAGATTAACTTTAGACTAAGCAAAATAAAATGTTCCTGTGTCAGCAAAGAATTTTCCTATTCAAGAAGAGTGATGTTCAGAAGCAATCTGTTGCTTAAAAAAATAAAATAATATCCAGAGAATAATTATAAGTTAGTCATTTTTTTCTTTTGCAAGCAACAACAAATCTCTGGCTTGAGGAACAAATCACCACTATGGGAGTGAGAGAACATTAATCTTTCTCCCCTTTTTGTTCTGAAAAAGTAAAGTACTGGTACTTTACTATGAGCCATGGTGGCACAGTGTTTAGAATGCAGTATTGCAGGCTAACTCTGCCAACTGCCAGGAGTTTGATCCTGACTGGCTCAAGATTAACTCAGCCCTTCATCAATCCAAAGTTGGTAAAATGAGGACCGAGATTGTTAGGGGCAATAGGCTGACTCTGTAAATTGCTTAGAGAGGGTTGTAAAGCATTATGGGGAGGTATATACAGTAAGTTTAACTGCTATTTCCATTAGTAGCTCTTGACTTACAACTGGTTAATGACCACTTGAAGTTAAAACAAACCCTCCAAAAGTTACTTATGACCCGTTTTCGAAGTTACACACCTAGGCACATGGGTCCAGTCACGTGATGCCTTGAGTTAAAACCTCAAAAACCTATGACCATAATTCCAGGCTCAATTATGATCATAAGTTGAGGACTACAAGTGAAATGAAATAAAAAGTAAAGTTCCAAAAAACATTGCCAAATTCCCCAATGGGAGTGAAAAAGAAAACAACAGAGCTGCTGCACTCTGGAGCTTCACTCCCCAACCGCTCCTGCTTCTTTAACTATAAATAATCATTAAGCAAAATCTGGACAACCACAGAACAGTGATTAAAGCAGGTTAAACTACAAGACATTGTTACTGATTGTGAGGGATTAGCCCAGGATAATTTCCAAGACAGCTGTAAGGAAAAGATTCATGCTATTTGTTTGGATCTCTTTAGAGTTGAACCTCAACCAGTCAGTTTCAGCTGAGGTACCTTGTGTGGTTATCTGGAGAAGGACTGAGTCTGTGACTTCTGAGCATTCTCCAGTCAGTTAGCTTGGTCACTTGTTTGTTAAATCCAGGTCACTCCTAGATAGCAAAAGGTGTCAGGGAGGTGATCTGTAGTTGGGTCTATGCGGCAGTATCAGGTCTTTGAATGACAAGGCTGTCATGCATCTTCTCAAGAAGACATCACTGGAGCCAACAGTCTTAGATAATTACTGTCCCGGGAAGATAGTAATGGAGAAAGGTATGGCAAGGCTTCGGGTCCACAGGACCCTGGAGGAATGACATACATTTCAGTCAAGCCTGAGGCCGGGATTTAGTAGAAGGACGTCACTGGATTGTGCACCATGATCTCTCCGTGGCTTTTGATACTGTCATCCACGGTATCTGATGGAACTGGTTTCAGGAATTGTGGGGTAGGAGGCACTGTTTTACAGTGGTTCTCCTCCTTTCCTTGTGGCTGGTGACAATCAGTAAAAAATATCTGAGTTGCAGTGATACATTTAAAATTATGATTTTTTTCCCTTATCATCACACACATTTTTTTTTTAAAAAAAAAATACTTGCTGTGCCTTAAACATACTTGCTGTGAATGGTGTTGGGGGGGCACATTGACTTCATTTTCAGTCATTGGATTTTCATTCAATTCTACATGGAAGATGTAGAATATGAAACCATAAAGCGCTGGTCCCAAACCATTACAGAGTCCTCTAATTCCTGTTATCATTCCTTGGACAACTCCTATAAAATAATGCATATTCAAATAAACATCTATAAGCAAATGATAAAAATGTATTATGATTAGTTAGTATTAGATTAAATGTTCAACAATATTTACATGCTTTGCACAGAAATATCAGCAAATGTTCTGATTTTTTTTTTTTTGACAAGTAGTTAGGATACTTGCAAAATACCATTTGTGACTATTAATCAACATAATATGGCATTGCTTGAAAAGAGAGATTTGTCAATTTTCAGTAAGCGATATTTCCATTATTGAGTTTCTGTCTTGTGTGTTAATTTTAAGAAGTGCTTACCCTGTTGATCAGCATCAGCAGTTCGTGAAACAAGTGCACTCACTGCTGGAAATGTGATGCTTGACATGGCTGCAACAGCCCCTGCGGCCCACATCATCCTGGAAAAGAGGGTATAGAGACCGATAAATGAACCAGGCTAGTATTCACAGTGATTTCAATAGATTTTAAAATTAATCAAATAAGTCAGACATAAAGAAAAACATATAACGCCGAAAGAAAGTTAATACAAAGTAGTCCCTTGACTTACGACCACAACAGAGCTCAAAAATTCTATTGCTAAGGGAGGAAGTTATTAAGTGAATTTTGCCCCATTTTACGAGCTTTCTTGCCACAGTTGTTACGTGAATCACTGCAGTTGCTAAGTTAGTAACACAGTTGTTAAGTGAATCTGGTTTCCCCATTGACTTTCTTTGTCAGAAGGTTGCAAAAATGTAATCACATGACTCCAGGACACCGCAACCGTCATAAATGTGAGTGGTTGTCAGGCATCCAAATGTAAACCATGGGGATGTTGCAACAGTCGTTGTATGAAAAAATAGTGATGTCTTTTTTCAGTGTCACTGTAACTTTCAACGGTCACTGAATGAACTGTTGCAAGTCCAGAACTACCTGTAGCTTGCATTAAAACATCAATGAGAGGCATACTATTGATGGATGTTTTAAAAACATCTGTTAACGAAAGGTGTAACAATAATAAAACTCGATGAAAAATTACTTACCAAGGTTCAGAGCCAAAACCGTACCATGCAAGCTGCAATATTTGAAATCCAAGA